GAGCATCTGTACCTAAGGATATTGAGCATGCCTTTCGTGGTAGGAAATCCTTTGCCACACAAAATGTAATGGCAGCCGTAGATTTTGATCTACGATTCACCTATGTCTTGGCTGGTTGGGAGGGGACAGCACATGATGCTCTAGTTTTACGAGATGCTTTAGAACGTGAGAATGGCCTTCGTGTTCCACAAGGTAATAGATTAGCAGTCTCTCAACTTGTCCATACAAATTTTTGTATATAGACATGTGACCAATCTGTCCATCAAATGATAGGAAAATTCTACCTAGTGGATGCTGGATATGGAGCCAAACCTAGATTTTTGCCCCCTTTTCGTGGTGTCCGGTACCACTTGAATGAGTGGGGAACTAATCCAGTGCAAAATGAGAAGGAATTATTCAACCTTAGGCACTCATCTCTTCGTGTGACAGTAGAGCGTGCTTTTGGGGCACTAAAGCGAAGATTCAAAATTCTTGATGATGCTACCCCGTTCTTCCCTTTTCCAACACAAGTAGATATTGTTTGTGCTTGCTGCATCATTCACAATTGGGTCATACAAGATGGGAATGATGAGTTTTTTATAGAGGATGTTACTTTGCCTAGCTATAACCATGCTTCAACACGCATTGGCCAAGCAAATGAGCATGCTGCTATAGTTAATTTCAGGCAGCAATTAGCAGATCAAATGTGGGCAGACCGGCAAAATAACAATGTTAATTAATATTTGTTCCTAAATTGAATTTATATGGACATATTTGTAGATGAATTCCACTTGTAAGATCATATTTGTTGTTGAATTCCATTTGTAAGGAGGTATTTGTGGCTGAGTTCCATTTGTAAGGACATATTTGTAGCTGAGTTCCATTTGTAAGATTATATTTGTTGTTGAATTCCATTTGTAAGGAGGTATTTGTTGCTCAATCATGTGTAATGTTTGCTAAAATTCCTATTTGTGGATCTCATCTTGCTGATTTTGTGTTTGTATGGCAGGCAATGGAGGATGCAGTTGAGGGAGTTGGTGGAACTAGTGGCCATGCTACATGGACATCAACAATGTCTGCTTTCATGCTTAGTCACCTGGCCGATTTGGTGGCTAGTGGTTTGAAGACATCAAAGGGATTCAAGAAACATTTTTACAATGGTTGTGCTAGGGCTATCAATGAGAAGTTCAACACTATTTGCACCGGTGACCAAGTCAAGAATCATTTAAAGACATGGCAAAAAAAGTGGCCAAAGATACTTAAACTTAAGAAGTTGAGTGCTGCACTGTTTGATGAAGATAACTGCATGATTACACTTGATGTTGAGCACTACAATGGCCATGTGAAGGTAAAGTTGTTGCTTAATTCTTTTGTAATTGGACTCTATCATTTCATATTTTGACTATAATTTTTCCTCCATTCTAGGATCATAAGTCTGATGCTGAGTTTTTGAACAAGCCCATCTTGCACTATAAAGAGATGGAGGCAATATTTGGAAATAGCATGGCTACATGAAACTTTGCAAAGGACTCAAGTGTAGCACTAGGTAGAGAAGATGATGAGGCCGATAGCCAAGATGAGGAGGAGATTACTGGAAATGGTTTGAGTGATGGTCATACCACTCAAGGTGCAACATCATCTACTAGTAGACCATCATCTGCTACTAGACCCAACAAGAAGGCCAAGATTGTTGACATTGAGGAGGAGGGGCTGATTGCTGTATTCAAAAGTGTAGGTGAGAACATCGCTGAAGCTATAAAAACTGCTGGCAAACCAGAAAATGAGTTGCCACCTGACCTATTTCAGATCCTAAATACCTTTCCTGGTTTTAATTCGATCCACGTATCTGCATACCATCTTCATTTGTGTTCCAACCCTACTATTGCTAAATCTTTCTATAACCTGCCAAATGAGAACCAGCTTCATTGGTTTTCAATGTTCATCAGTGATAAGTTTCCTGGAGTGTAAGAGTGATGTTGGATGAGTGGGAGGTTTCTTTTGGTACAACTTATCGAACCGTGTAAGCCTTGAACTTATATCATGTAAGGCTTCAACTTATATTATGCCTTGAACTTGCTTTATTTAAGTAAGGCTTGAACCTGATGTGTAAGGCTACATCTAATTATTATCATGTAAGGCTTGGACTTATGTAATGCCTTGAACTTGCTTTATAAGTAAGGCTTGAACCTGATGCATGGGATTCTATACGTGTCATTGCATATTATTTTCCTCTCATGAATATGCTTTGAACTTGATTGGAAGTGAAGATATTTGCAATGTGTGGTAATCTCACCAAAGAGGTGATCATATTCCCTGCCAACCCTCATCCCTCTAACCAAACAAGGAATGGAACCACTCGAACCCACTGTATCCTCCAACCAAACGAAAAAAAGGGTTGAACCCATCCCTGTAACCAAACAAGAGAGGTGTTGATTCGAACCCAGAGAAGTGGGATGGACCCAACCCATTCCATTTGGCTCCCAAACCAAACACATGCTTACTGGCCAGGTGAGCTGGAACTGGAGTTCTGTACCCAATAGCTATCATCGTAGTTCGTAGGTCTCACTCTCAGCTGTTGGCACTCGGCAGCCAAGTCGTGGTGCGCCTCGGGTTCCACACACGGACCGTGTCATCTGCCATGTAAGATTCCTCTTAAATACACCAGCAGAGCGGTTTTTAGCCCTGTTGCATCCCGTCGGACGAGACACGGGAGCAGCATAGCATACTTGATCAGTGATCACTGATCTGATCACCTGAATGAGCTGAACGTGCAGGCTGCAGGTAGACATTACGCCACCACAGGAATTTAGGGCGTAGAAGAAACAATCGAGGGCTGGAAGATGATGGAGTAGTGGCGTGTGGAATCAAGGGAAATGCTTCTACCAGTATGAGTACAGTTGAAGATGGATGGATGAGTTCGCTTTCCCCTTTTCGTTTCCTTCGTTTGCTCTGCTTTCCTTGTGCGGGCAGGTTTGTTGCCTTCTCAAGGCTACGCCATCGTGGAGGGCGAAGGTATGTAGTGTGTAGGGGTGCAAATACACCCTAAGAAAACAAAACAGTAAGTTTGATTAAAATTCCTATATGTATCCCTTATGAGACATGTCTATGCACCTCTCTAATTTTCTCTAGCTTTGCCATTGTTTTCAACAGTGTGAGTTGACACAAGGTCATGGTTGAATGATCTTTGCCCTGTTCGCTTGGCTTATAAGCCGTACTTTTTCAGCTAACGAACATTATTTTTCTCTCACAACAAATCAGCCAACGGTACTTTCAGCCATGGCTTATCAGCCAAGCGAACATGTCACTTTATTATACACTTGTACAATAATCTCACTTGTGCATGGAAATGGCATGATTTTGAATATCGGTGGATGGACATAGTTGACATCAAGTGCAACTTTCCCACTTCCTTATATTAGCGAGGAGTGGCGGGTGCGGTTTTTGTACTTTCCCTATATTAGCAAGGGAGTGGCAAGAACACCGCCAAACACAAGGACGAAGAAGACGAGCACAACATAGGGTGGTGAAGGCAAGTGTGTGAATGGGGTGGGGAGACGGGATGGATATATGAAATTATAGAAACAAGAGATTAACATGAGGCATCTTGGTACTCTATCTGTTTTAAAATATAGGTCATTTTATTTTTGTCATAACCCAAACTTGTATAACTACAACTAAGAAAAATTCACTGACATCTACAGTCAAGTCAGTTCCATTTAATTTGTATGGATAGTTCTTTTACGTGGTATTGCATATGTTAATGTATTTTGAGTAAAACGCTTGGGTGGTTCCTAAACTTGTCTCATGGTGTTATACAGGTACTGAATTCTCAAAATGTAATTTTCAAGTCTCTGAACTCGTGTCAGGGTGTTATCTAGGTCCCAAACTCTCAAAATATGAATTTTCAGGTCCCTGAACTCGTCACACAGTGTCATCCATGTCCAAACGGTGTTCGACTTGCTTTGGACCTTAACGTGGTATGCCATGATAGATCTCTCATAGCTCAGGTCTTAACTAGTGGGTCTTACATGAGGATAGGGCACACATAAGGCCCTCTGAGATGACATGGTGGACAGGTGCCCATGTCAAGGATGATGAGTGATTGTTAATGTGAAATGATCAAGCTTTAGATGAGTCTCCATATTTGTTTTGAGAAGCATTGACAAGCAATGGATGAAGCTAGACCGGACGCAGTGAATTACATAAAGGGAATGGCATGAAAGGATATGGACAAGATGCCAATTCCTAACTCATTGCAAGTTGGACTATGTGCAATCTAGTTGAGAGTTTCAATAACTGGATTAACAATTATAAGGCAATGAACTTGGATAGTTTGATGGATAAAATCAGACAACTGACAATAACAAAAGAATTTGAAGGATTAATTTTCCCACGCATGGAGAAGAGGTTAAAGGAGAAGAGTTCCAATTTGGAGATGGATGTGACTAGATGCTTAGATACTGTTGCGCAGAAGTTTGTGTGAAGGGGAGCAATGGCTTCAAGTGGGTGGTCAACCTACAAGACAAAGGCTTGCTTGGTTCATTTCTAAAATTTACCAAGCCATGATTTTGGCTAGTATTTGGTTGGCTATGAAAACTTGCCAGCTTCTCACAATTAGCTTGCTAAATCTTTGGTAACTTTTTTTGTCAAGTTCTAGCTGCTAAATCTTTGGCATGACAAATTTTGATCACGAGTCAAACAGGTCTAGGATTCAGATAGCCTAGCAGTTTAGCCCACAACCAAAAGAGCCCAGCTCAACATGACTCGCCTCCTTCAGGCCTTCAGGCCCATTGGCATTCTACTCTCCCTTTCAGTCCGACCCGTACTTCTGTGCTTCCGGCTCGGACTCACTGATAGATATTTTTTTTTTCATGTTCCTCCTTCCAAATTTCATTCCTCATCAGAAAAAAAAAAGAAACAAAAAGCTAAATCAAATCCTCTGGCCTCCGCGTTTCCTATCGTTTGGGTTCGGGGCCGGTGCCGTCGCCGCCTCCTCTGGACCGCTCGGCCGCCCCTTCGCCATGTCGTTGCTCGCCACGGCCACTCCCACCACTTCCTCCCACTTCCCCGCACCCCCTCCCTCCTTCCACATGCCCCGCAGGAACCTCACCGCCCCAGTCCACCGCATCCGCCGTTCGCGGCTGTTGACCGTCGTCGCCTCCGTCCCCGACCCCTCGGCGGGGCCTGTGGAGTACACGCCTTGGCTCTTCGCCGGCCTCGGCAACCCAGGCAACAAGTACTACGGCACGCGGCACAATGTTAGAACCGTTGCCACCCTTGTTCGTTCGTATTCCCATTTCCCGCAACTTCGGTATCGTGGTTCTCACTTCTCGCTCTCCTCCGTTCCCTTGTGCGCGTGCTCGTGTCATTGATTAGGTGGGGTTTGAGATGGTAGATCGCATCGCGGGGGAGGAGGGGATCACGATGAACACAATCCAGTCCAAGTCGCTGCTGGGAATTGGTAACTAAAACCCTTATCACCTGGATCGTGTGTGCTTAGGTTGTACGTTCCTTCTTTATGCTGTGTTCTATCTTTAGTTTCCTTACCGCATAATTTGGGGATTGACAGTGATGAAGGAAACATATGTATTGCAATCATTTTGCCATGCTGGTGAGCATTGTATTGGTATAATTGGACATCAATCTCGGTTGTACTCTTTGTGTAGTTGTCTATTTCAGTTGCTGCAAGTCAGCAACTTTAACTTAGATTTGAGCTGGAGTGTGGTGGTTGGAGGGATGAATCTGTGGAGATTTCTCCATGTACCTCTACTCAGCCAACCATTAGGTTGACAAGTTTTATTATTTGATTTCTCTGTAGAAACTTGTTTTGTGCAAGTTTTAGCAAAATGAACTTCAAGTTATTATTATTTGGTTAGATCGTATATAATGAACAAATTGCTTGGTGATATAAACTAAAAGTTTATTAAAAATGACAAATATAATGTTGGTCCAGAGAAAACGAGATATCTTTTTCTCATGTTCATTGCCATTTGGTTTCCATTATTGTTATATTCAATCCAGTGAGAAGCCATGCAGTTTACTTAGTCCTTATTGTACTACCAAGACCATCACAGGAAATGCCCTGATGTACTGGTTGAAATTTAAAACTTGGTCTGTCGATCATCCCATCAGAAAAGTACAATATAGAGATTTTAGGTATGCATAATGGCGTCTGTGCGATGTATTCAAAATGAAATAAAGCCATCTTCATAGATGTATGGGCAGTCCCGGAACATTTTCTTGTTGGAAGGATAAGTACAATTTGCAGGCTGTTTGACTGTAACTTTCACAATTGTGTATTCATGTTATTAATTTGTTTAACCCATCATTGGGTTGGATTTTAGTGCAGGTTCAATTGGTGATGTGCCAGTCTTGGTAGTAAAACCGCAATCATACATGAACTACAGTGGAGAGGCAGTGAGTTATTCTTAGTCTTTCTAGATGACATTATTAGCTTGTGAAATGTAAGGGGCAATGATGTTCTTTTTTTGATAAGGGGGCAATGATGTTTTAGTTACTTAAATAAATGCTTCTATGGGAGATTGATTACTTGTGGGGATAGTTGCATTCCTTACTGCTTAAACTTGCAATATATTTACATTCATTTCATTCTTTTTTGGTATTTGTAACCTTTGAGAAAGTAGTGGATACAACATGAGCACAATTGTGAACTTTTTTTTTTTGGGTAAGAAGGGCGGGCCTGGTGCAAGCGGTAGAGTCTTACCGCCTGTGACCGGAAGGTCCCGGGTTCGAGTCGTGGTCTCCTCGCATTGCACAGGCGAGGGTAAGGCTTGCCACTGACACCCTTCCCCATACCCTACGCAGAGCGGGAGCTCTCTGCACTGGGTACACTCTTTTTTTTATTTTTTTGGGTAAAGGAGTGGACATTTGATGCCCGTTGATACGAAATACTGCCTGTTAGGAGCATTAATATGAAGTGCACAACAGGCAAATTGGCTCTTTATATATTGGATTGAAGTTGAGGTTTAGCTTATTCCATTGTATGGATATATTATTCATTAATGAGAAATCATTTGTATCAAATGAGTATAGTTAGTTTGGTTGAATGCACAGTACAGAAAAAGCATGGCTATTATGTTGATAATCTTATGATTTCATCCTGACTTGCCTACACATACAATTTCTCGTTTCCCTCATTCTTGCAATCTTGCTAAAGCATCACACTTCATGTCTTGCAATGTGCTACTAGAAAATGTCAAGACTGTTAGATAATCTACTGCTACCTTATGTGAACACAACAAGGGAAGGCGGCGTCGAAAGGCCCCCTGCTGTGATACTGTAGCCGCTGCATGTGTAGGCGCCGCATGGCACACCTGCAGCACTGCAAGCACATGCAGAGGCCGGTGCAGAGTCAGCCCTGTATGTTATCTAGTCACTGTTGCAGCAGGGCAGCTGTACTGGGACTAGATGGATAGAGTTGTATAAATAGACTACCACGGCAACTCAGTAAAGAGAGTTCAGATTTGCCATCTCACAGACAAGGCTTCGGCCAACGCTGGTGCTTTGTATTGTGTGTGCATGCTCTGTTCTCCCTTCCTCTTCAAGCTTTAGCCATAGTGCGTAGGGACAGACAACGCTTGTTCGTGGTCGGCACGGCTAGTGAGTGCTCGACAACACTAGCGGGTGCTCGGCAAGACTGGTGAGTGGTTCACTCACCTGAGCCGGTGATCCTGTGGGCCAACAAGTGGTATCGGAGCCGTACAAGCGCCGTCGTCAGACTAATCGCTGGTGATGACGGGCGGTTCGGAGATGGGCGACATCAGTGGCACTGCTGTGTCTGCCTAGCCACGACCGGAGGTCGTTGTTCGCACGGTGCGGGAGGTCAGCGGCACCAGTTGACCGACGTTGACTCGCACCAATTATGGAGAGTGGTCGGTGACCATGAAGGTCAAGCTCAGAGTCCGACGGCTCTGGAATGCTGTTGACAAGGGCACCGACAATGAGGAGGATGACATGTCAGCGTTGGAGGCTATCCTCGCTGCTGTACCGGCGGAGTACAGGGAGCCGTTGGGGGCAAAGAGCTCGGCTAAGGAGGCGTGGGAGACTATTGCGGCGATGTGCGTCGGTTCTGACCGCGCAAAGAAGGCGACGGCCCAGCTTCTGAAGCAGGAGTACGCCAACCTCAAGTTCAAGGATGGTGAAACGGTGGAGGACTTCTCCCTCCGCCTGCAGACGCTCATCAGCTTGCTGATGAGCCATGGCGTCACCATCGACGAAGAGGAGGCGGTCTCCAAGTACCTCCACTCCGTGCCGGTAAAGTACATCCAGATCGCTCTCTCCATAGAGACGATGCTGGACTTGTCCACCCTCACCATTGAGGATGTGACAGGCCGTCTGCGGGCGGTGGACGAGCGCTTGAAGCAGGCGACAGCAACGGAGGACAGCGGGAAACTCCTGCTGACGGAAGAGGAGTTGGCTGCTCGGAGGAACTCCGGGAAGGCAGCCTCCTCCAGCCGCGGTGGCGATGGCAAGCGCCCTGGCAGGGCTTCTTCGGAGAAGAAGCAGGTCGACCTCAACGCCTGTCGGCGTTGCGGGAAGATGGACCATTGGGCACGGGAGTGCCTAAATCGCAAGCAGGAGAAGAAGGCTCAGGATCACCTGGCGCAAGCCGATGATGAGGATGAGGCCACTATCCTGATGGCGACGTTCTGTGCACTGCACGACGTCGAGGCCGAGGAGAGGGAAGAGGTGACGACGGTGGAAGGACCTGGGAAGGCCCTGAAGACTGTCAGCCTCGACGAACCACGCGCCCAAGTCCACCTCGGACGTGTGGGCGCCGACTAGGAGTAGCGGTGGTATCTGGACTCTGGTGCCAGCAACCACATGACGGGCTCCAAGGCATCCTTCTCCGAGCTTGACGACGATGTTACCGGTACGGTGAAGTTTGGTGACGGCTCAAGGGTGGCTATCCAAGGGCGCGGCACCATCATCTTCAGGTGCCAGAACGGGGAGCACCGCGCGCTAATGGATGTATACTACATGCCGTAGCTGCGTTCCAGCATCATCAGCATTGGTCAGCTGGATGAGCATGGTAGCGAGGTACTGATCAAGGACGGAGTCCTTAGGATCAGGGACCGGGAGCAGCGACTTCTTGCCAAGGTGAAGAGGTCCCTGAACCGGTTGTACCTGCTCGACCTGAAGGTAGAGCAGCCGGTGTGCTTGGCGGCAAGGCACTCCGAGGAACCGTGGATGTGGCATGCTCGGTTTGGACATCTCAGCTTCGACGCGCTTGGTCGGTTGGAAAAGATGGTCCGAGGGCTCTGTGTGACAGCTGCCTTGCCGGGAAGCAGAGGAGGCTACCTTTCCCAAAGACGGCCAAGTATCGCGCAAAGGACGGTCTCGAGCTCGTCCACGGCGACCTCTACGGGCTGATCACGCCTGCTACAAACGGTGGTCGGCGGTACTTCCTCCTGCTCGTGGATGATTGCAGTCGCTACATGTGGCTGCAACTCCTGACGAGCAAGGACGAAGCGGCGGCGGCGATCAAGTTCAAGATGCGCGCGGAGGCCGAGAGCGGCAAGAAGCTCTGCGTGCTGAGGACTGATCGCGGCTGTGAATTCACTTCGGTGGAGTTCGCTGCGTACTGCGCGGATCAGGGTGTGGAGCGACACCACAACGCGCCGTACTCGCCACAACAGAATGGCGTGGTGGAGCGACAGAACCAGACGGTGATCGGCATGGCCCGATCCATGATGAAGGCCAAAGGCATGCCGACAAGGTTCTGGGGGGAGGCGGTGACCACGGCTGTGTTCATCCTCAACCGCGCTCCGACCAAGGCTTTGACGGGCCAGACGCCGTTCGTAGCTTGGTATGGGCGCAAGCCGAGCGTGTCATTCCTCCGGACATTCGGCTGCATCGGCCACGTCGGGAAGACGAAGCCAAACCTCACCAAGCTAGAGGACAGGAGCACACCGATGGTGTTCCTGGGCTATGCGGAGGGTAGCAAGGCAAGGTGCTTGTCTCGCGCGACGTCGTGTTCGACGAGGAGGCGGCTTGGGACTGGAGCAGTCTGAGCACGGGGGAAGCTAGCGGCTTCACCAGCACCTTCGTCGTCGAACACTTGGTCATCCACGGTGGTGGAGACGTTGGGGAAGAGGTGCCGAGCACTCCGGGAGGAGTGCCGAGCACTCCAGCGGTAGAGCCGAGCACTCCTGGGGTAGTGCCGAGCACTCCGGGAGGAGTGCGGAGCATTTCTGGAGGGATGCCGAGCACGCCAGGAGTGGTGCCGAGAGGTTCTGCAGTGGTGGCGACCACTCCAGGACGGATGCCGAGCACTCCCGTGGCGGAGCCAAGACTTCTTGCAGTGGTGCCAACCACTCCAAGACTAAGGTTAGGCACTCCTACAGTGTGGCCGAACACTGCAGGAGTAATGACGAGCTGTCCAGAAGTAGTGCCGAGCACTGCAATCAGGGTGCCGAGCACTCAAGCGGAACAGAGAACTCCATCGACGCCGATCGAGTTTGCCTCACCTCCAAGTGACATCACTGAATTCGTGGACGCCTACCACGAAGGTGAGGAGGTGCGGTTCCGCAGGCTGGACGACATCATCGGCGGCACAGGACCCTCAGAACTGGCTGGTCGGCTGCTCAATGACGCAGAGCTGCTGCTAGTCAGTGCAGAGGAACCACCCACGTTCGCGCTGGCCGAGCGGGACGAAAACTGGCGACGGGCGATGCTGGAGCAGATGAAGGCGATCGAGGAAAACGAGACATGACAGCTCGTCGATCCACCTCCAGGATGCCGTCCGATCAGCCTGAAGTGGGTGTACAAGGTCAAACGGGACGAGCTCGGCGCCATTGTCAAGCACAAGGCGCGCCTCGTCGCCCGAGGCTTTGTTCAGCGCGAGGGCATAGACTTCGAGGAGGTCTTTGCGCCAGTAGCGCGCATGGAGTCGGTCCGTTTGCTACTTGCTTTGGCAGCAACAAAGGACTGGCGCGTCCATCACTTGGACGTTAAATCGGCCTTCCTCAACGGCGAGCTGGCGGAGACGGTCTACGTCAGGCAACCTCCAGGTTTCGTCGTCAAGGGAGAGGAGCACAGGGTGCTCCGACTGCGCAAGGCGCTC